AAAAACAATTCAAAAATATGAAGTGACTGACATTTTGTAGTTACTTTTTATCTCAAGATATTTACCAAGTCTGGGTGAAGGACAAGAAATTGAGGGTTTGGAAAAAGGCCCACGCCAGGATCCACTACCTGAGAAAGGAAAATGAACAGAGATATGACATTCTTCCTGGGCTAGAGAGAAAAGAGCTAGACAGGCTAGGATTCCAGCGAGAAACTAGCTGGGGAATTGAGTTCAGTACTTTGTCTGTTTTCCCATCAAGGCTTTTGCTTAACTCTGATGTGCTGGAATTTAAGACACAAAGAAGAAAGCCTCAAAAACAGAGGATTCTGAGGAAAAAGGGTTAGTTCTTAGGACTGACAGTGGGTTAAAATCCACTGGGGATCATCCCAAACTCTCATTTATGATACATAGGAGGCTACACCCTGGGAGTAGCGAGTTCAGGGACAGAAGTAGCTTTGCTGTTTTCAAATAAACTTTGAGCCATTTCAATTCCTAATTGACAACATTGATCAGTCCCTTCTCTATCTGCCTGAGCACAGGAAAGGCTGAATGTCACTACAGAAATATAAAGTCAGAAAACTCTGTAATTTTCTCAAATATGATGTTTATAATTTATTATAAAAATATAAGTTTTGCAAAGAGACCAGAAAAGAGACTGAAATTCAAAAGAAAAATCAAATATAGACAGCCTCACTGATAAACCTTAAGTTGCATTTATGAGAAAACTTTAAACTAGACATGATTAATATTTTCAAAAAGAAACTAAAATACATAATCTGAAAGTACCATGTCAACAAATGACTCTAACAGCAGAATAGACACAGCAGAAAAAGAATTAGTGTATTGAAAAAAATTGAAAGGTAGATTAATAGAAATTATTTATACTGAAGCATATAGAATAAAGTAGGGATTATAAAAAAGACAATAAGTGATTTAAAAACAAAGTAAATAGGTCTAACTTATTTTTAACTGGAGTCCTAGAAGGGGAGAAGGGAATGGAATAAAAGCAATATTTGAAGAAACAATGACCAAGATTTTTCCAAACCAAATACTGACACCAAGCCACAGGGGCAAGAAATTTTGTATATTCAAAGAAAGATGAATACAAATAAATCCACATTTGGTAACATCATGAGTTAACAAGAGAAAATCAAAGACAAAAATAAAATTTCAATAGCAGTTATGAACAGTGTCATAATACATTTGTAGGAGCTATATCACCACAGATGGCTGACTGTTCGCAGAAACCATGGAAACCAGAAAACAATTGGAAAACATTGTCAATTGCAGAGAAAACAAAGTCCTGACAGTTCTATATCTAGCAAAAATATCATTATTAACGGAGACAAAATAAAGATCATTTCAGACAAGTAAAAACTGAGTAACACATATTAACATACCTGCTCTTAAAGAGAGAGTATTACTCAGGCATTAAAAGAATTATTCTAGATGAAAGCACTAGATAGATGCAGGGAAAAAATATACCTGGAAGGATAAATGTGTGGATAAATATATTGTATATTGACTGCACAGACAATAATTATAATATAAATATTAAATATATGTAAGTTAAAATCCAAGAGAACATAAAATGTGAGGTTTTAACATTATTGAAAAATTATTTAAAGTAATAATTTCTGTTTACTAAAATAAATCCAGACTCAGCATGTGTAATTTTCCATTGCAATCATTTAGCAAAATAGTGTATATAGAATAAGCTAATCATATAATAAGAAAGAGTAATCCCCAAAAAGCAAGAAGTGAAATATATGCCAAAAAAATAGGAAGATGGTAGATATAAACATTATATAGATAGAAAGGTATAATGTATACATTATATACAAAAGTATAATAAATGTAATGTTAAATACATTATATACAAGAGTGTAAACATTATACCTTTCTTTCTATATAATGTTTATGTCACTAACTGTATTAAGTGTAAAAAAAAAGCTAAACACACAAATAAAAGGCTAAGATTGTCAGACTAGAACTTTTAAAAGTGGACTATTGGCCGGGCGTGGTGGCTCACGCCTGTAATCCTAGCACTTTGGGAGGCCGAGGCGGACGGATTGCTCAAGGTCAGGAGTTCGAAACCAGCCTGAGCGAGACCCCGTCTCTACCAAATATAGAAATAAATTAATTGACCAACTAAAAATATATATACAAAAAATTAGCCGGGCATGGTGGCGCATGCCTGTAGTCCCAGCTACTCAGGAGCTGAGGCAGTAGGATCGCTGAGCCCCGGAACGAGGTTGCTGTGAGCCAGGCTGACGCCATGGCACTCACTCTAGCCTGGGCAACAAAGTGAGACTCTGTCTCAAAAAAATAAAATAAAATAAAATAAAATAAAAGTGGACTATTAATTCTTTAACAGAGACACCCCTTAAATATATTTGGACACAGAGAGAGAAAAGATTAAAGGATTGAAAAAATATAAATCCATGAAAATACTGACCTAAGAAAGTTTGCATTCCTATATTAGTACATGAGAAAATCAGGCTTTAAAACACTAAAGTATGATTAGGGGGAAAAAAAGGGAATCTGCTTGTGCACTGTATTAGTCAGTTTGGGCTCCCATAACAAAAGATCATAGTCTGGATGGCTTAAGCAGGGATTTATTTTTCACAATTCTGGAGGCTAGAAATCTAAAATCAAGGATCCAGCTGATTTAGTTCTTGATGATGGTTCTCTTCCTGCCTTGCAGATGGCCATCTTCTTGCTGCATCTTCACATGGCTTTTGCTTGGTGCAAAAGAGAGATTAGTTTCATCATCTTTTTGATAAAGTCACAAATCCTATTGAATGAGAACACCACCCTAATGATTTCGTTTGTCCTCTACTACCTTCTAAAAGCCCTGTCTCCCAATACAAGTACACTGGGGGTTAGTGCTTCAACATAGAAACTTTGGGGGAGAAAATTCAATTCATAGCACAAATAACAATATGGATTCAGATATAGTAAGCAAAAATTGAATAAATGAAAAGTTGACATAGTTAAAGCTATATTCATAGTGAGAGATTTCAATACTCCTTTCTCTCAGGTTATAAAAAAAAGCTGCAGATATTAGGAATGATATGGAATATTTACATGGCAAAATTAACAAATTTGACCAAACTGCCATATATTGAAGACTGCAATTAACAACAAAAGAGTACTCATTCTTTTTTTTAAATTCAGGATATTATGAAGGTACAAACATTTTGGCTATATGTAATGTGTTTGCCTCGCCCAAGCCAGAGCTAAAAGCATGTCCTTCCCCCATATTGTGCTCTCTGCTTCCATTAGCTGTGGGTTTACACCCCCATTCTCCCCACAGGCACCCATGTTACTACCATGTGAGCACCTTAGTGCTGATCAGTTAGTACCAATTTGATGGCAAGTATATGTGGTGCATGTTTTTCCATCCTTGCGATATCTCACTTGGAAGGATGGGCTCAATCTCTATCTAGGGTAACAGAAGAGGTGCTAGTTCACCATTATTTTATGTAGTTGAGTAGTATTCCATGGCATAGAAATATCACATTCTTTATACTACACATAGCATATTTTCTGAATTTGATTCAATACATGTTCACAAGGCAAATCAGAAGAAATTTCATGAAATTGAAATCCTTTAGGATATGTTCTTTGATCATAGTAGAATTAATTTAAATTTATTCAAGAAATCTTATGGTCAAAAATAAAGTATGAAGTAGGACAGTAAATACCTTGAAATAAATAATGAAAGCATGTCATTGCAAAATTAATAATATTCAGTTAAGATAGGGTTAAAATGTATATATTAGAAAAGAAAAAGGCTCCCCCAAAGATAATATATGTCTATCTCAAGTAATTTATAAAATAAAATTAACCCAACATGAATAAGAGGAAAAAAGATGAAAATAGAAATTAATAAAAATAGAAAAAAATATTGTAGAAAAATCAACAAAATAAAAATGTTATTAAAGACTAAAAAAATTAATAGAACTCTAGCAGGATTGATGAACAAAAATAAAGAATAGTCCTAATTATCTATATTAGCAATAAAATGAGATCCATCACTACATTAATGCCAAATAGTAAAAAGATGTAAAATAAAATTATTAATAATCCTGTAGTAATATATTGAAAATTTAAGTTCAAATGGAAAAATTCCAAAAAGCACCCATTACAAACGTTTTAAAAAATGTATAACTATTTAAAAATAGATCCCCATTTAAAACTTTTCTTAAAAAGATCTCTAGGCTCAAATTGCTTCACCAGTAAAATTTTTCAAATAACAAACGAACACCCACTTTAGACAATTCCAGTGAATCACAAAAGAGAAAACACTTCTGAATTAATTTTATGAGGACAACATAAACTTACCATTAAAGCATGACAATCAAATACAAAAATTGAGTTTATACACTAATATTTCTTTTGAAATATATGCAAAGAGTCTAGACAAAACATTAGTAAGTAGAATAAGAATACATTGATATATTAAAAGGATAATACTTCATGACCAAGTTCTTTCCAGGAAAACATGTTTGGTATAAAGATCATAAATCAGGCAAAATAACCAGCCAAATCAATAAAAAATAAATAAAAAGGAGAAGAAAAACTATACGATCATTTCAATACATGACGGTGTTGATAAAATTCAACACCTATTTAAGTTAAAGCCTTTCAGCAAATTAGAAATAGAAAAGAATTTTCTTATCTGAAAAAGAATTGTGTGTTAGGCTGCTTATAAAATAGTTCCCAATAATCTCTGCCTCTTGATATTCATGCCCTTCTGTAACACTTTGCCTTGTATGTGGGTCTTAGCTAGTGCCTTCTAATGAATAAAATATGGTCAAATTGATACTGTGCTACTTCCAAATTAAATTTTAAGAGACAGTGACTTCTCTCTCTCTCCCACTCCCTTTCTCAATCTATCCTGCTTTCTCACTTTGATGAACCCAGATGGCATTTTGTGAGCTGCACTCTGGAGAAATGGAGAGGTCTATGTAGCAAGAAAATGAAAGTTGTCTCCAGTCAACATACTGTGAAAAACTGATACTATCACTCCAACAACCCATGAGAACTTGAATTCTATCAGCCAATACTGAAGGAGCTTGGAAATGAAACCTACCTAGGCTGAATCTTTTGAAAGTCCTGAGCCAAATGAAACAACTAAGCCACACCTAGAATCTGGACACCAAGACATTGTAAGAAAATAAATATTTGGGGAATTTTACTTTATTTTATTTATTTTATTATTTGATAGGATCTTGCTTTGTCACCCAGGCTAGAGTGCAGCGGTGCAATCATAACTCACTGCAGCCTCAATCTCCTGGGTTCAAGTGATCCTCCTGCCTCAGCCTCCTGGATAGCTATGACTACAGGTACACACTACCATACCCAGCTACTTTTTTTATTATTTATGAAGATGAGGTCTCTCCATTTTGCCCAGGCCGGTCTTGAACTCCTGATCTCGAGCAGTGCTCCAACTTCAGCCTATCAAAGTGCTGGCATTACAGGCATGAGCCACCATGCCTGGCTAATTTGGGAATTTTTAGCCATTAATTTAAAAAGTAATTATTAAAATAAAAATAGAGGACTAATTTAAGTATCTACAGAAAAGAAACCTACACCAACTTCAATATGAATGATAAATTCTTGAAATTTTTATTTCTAGAATTGAGATCAAAACAAAAATACTTGTCACCATTTTTAAGAGGTCATTTTTTTCTTGGAGATTCTAGGTAATACAACAAATAAAAATTAAATAAAATACACAAAATTTGTTAGATAGATATAAAACTATCCTTATTTGTAAATAATATGATATATAGGTAGGAAATCCAAAAGAATCAACATATAAAAGTATAATAAATATTTCTATTAATATTTACTGGCTATAAGGTCAAAATACAAATGTCAATTACATTTTTATAGACAGCAACAAAATTCAACAAGAAAACAAACTCAAAAAGAAAAAAACAAAGTGATCAAAACATGGGCAAAAGATCTGAATAGACATGTCTTACATGAAGACATAGTAATGGCTAACAGATTTGTGAATAAATGGTCAGGATCACTAATCATCAGGAAAATGCAAATCAAAACTTCAATGAAATATCAGTTCACTTCAGTCAGAATGGCTTCTATCAAAAAATTAAAAGATAACAAGTGTTGGCTAGAATGTGAAGAAAAGGGGACCCTTACACACTGCTGTTGGGACTGAAAATTAGTATAGCTATTATGAAAAATAGTATGGAGGGTCATCAAAAAATTAAAAATAAGTGACTATAATATCCAGCAATCTAACTACTGGGTACATATTCAAAGGAAATGAAATCAATATCTCAAAGAGATATCTTCACTCCTATGTTTATTCTACACTATTTACAATAACCAACCTATGGAGTTAACCTAAATGTCCATCAACGAATGGATTGATAAAGAAAATATGGTATAAATACATACTGCAATATTATTCATGCATATAAAAAAATAAAATCCTGTCATTTGGAGCAACATGGATGAACCTGGAGGACATTACATTAAGTGAAGTTAGCCAGAAAGACAAATTCTACATGATCTTACTTATGTTGAATCTAAAAAAATATTGTTTCCATAGTAAAGAGTAAAATAGTGATTACCAGAGGATAAGGAATAGAGGGGAAGTGGGAGATGGTGAGAGATTAGTCAATTGTTACAAAACCACAGTTAGAGAGAAAAAATAACTTCTGGTGTTCTATTGCATAATAGATGACTAGAGTTAATAATGTATTATATATTTCAAAGTAGAAGAGAGGCGTTTCAATGTTCTCATCACAAATCAATTATAAATATTTAAGATAATTGATGTGCTAATTATCCTGATTTGATTATTGCTCATGGTGTACATTTATCAAAACATCATGTGTACCCAATAAATTTGTACAATTACTATGTGTAAATAAAAAATTTTTAAAAATCAAAAACTTAGAGATAAATCTAAGAAAATGCATTCAAAAACTCTATAGTGAAAACTATAAAACATTATTGAAAGAAATTAAAAACCTATAGATATAATAGGGTATACTTTGTTCATAGTTGTAAAATTCGATCTTTAAAAAAAGATAGCTTTCCCTAAAGTGATCTGTAGACACATTGATACACCAATCAAAGGTCCAAGTGGATTTTTGAGACACTGACAAGATTTTTCTCAGGTTTATGTGGAATATAAACTAAAAATATAAACTAAGAATAACCAAAGTAATTTTGGGAAAAAACAAAAGCAATTGCAGCACAATTCACAATTGCAAAGATGTGTAATCAACCCCTGTGCCAATCAATTCACAAGTGGATTAATTAAATGTGGTATATGTATACCATGGAGTACTACTCAGCCATAAAAGGGATGAATTAATGCCCTTTACAACAATTTGGATGGAACAGGAGACCATTTTCCTAAGTGAAGTATCTCAAGAATGGAAAAACAAACACCACATGTACTCATTATTAAACTGGAACTAACCAATGAACACACATGTGCACAAAGGGAAGCAAAATTCAGTGGAAATCAAGCAGGTGGTAGAGGGGAGAAGAGGGGCATAAAACTAACTAATGGGTAAAATATACACTATTGGGGTGATGGGCACACCTATAACCATGACTCAAACATTACAAAAGTGACACATGTAACAACAAAAAAAAACATGTGTACCCCCTTAATATTTTGAAATAAAACAAAAATGGAGATTTATATAACCAGATCTTAAGGTGTATTATTAATGAAGTAATTAATTCATTACAATGTTGGGGAAAGGATGGATATATAGATCAATGGAACAGAATAAAGTTTATGAACGGACTATATATGTACATCTGATTTAAGAAAAAATACTGCTGTAGTGCAAGGAAAAAAGCATGATCTTTTCAATAAAGAATTGAAATTGCTTAATTGTCTACCTATATGGAAAAACATGACTTTTCTTCCCTTCCTCGCATCATAAACGAAAATCAATTCCAAAAGGATTGTATATCTAGAAAGGTAAACCATGATTTTTTATAAAAATTGGAGCAGAGTTTTTAAATTGAATGTGCATACAGACACATACAACCCAAACATACATCATAAAGAATATTTTTGAAAAATTGGATGACATTAAAATTAAATCATTTTTTCATTAAATAGCCATTATTAAGTTAGTTAAATGTATAGTCAAGACAGGGAAAACATTCACAAAAATAAATATGACAAAGTATTAATATAGAGAATATAGAAATAACTCTTATAAATCATTGCAAGAAAACACACAACACCAAAATGAATACCAAATGAGGAAAAGCAACAACTTATACATGAAACAACATGGATGAATCTAATAAATCTAAAAAATTAGGGGAGTCATTATCTTTGGTGTGTTGATTGGGAACTGAAAGGAAGCACAATGAAGATTCTGGGTTTTAACAATCTAATTTTTTCCCACCACTAATTATATAAGTATACAAAATACAAAATTTCATACATACAAAATTTAGCAAACTTCCCACTTAATCTTTGTAATTTTTTGTATATCCTCTTTGTATGATACACCTCGTAAGTACTTTATTGTTCAAAATATCTATATTCTAAACATAATTCTAAATCTTTTACCTCAAATAACTCATTCAAGATTTCCAATCACTACCATTTTTTTGGTGTGGCTGAGCCAATATCAGTCAAAGCATTTAAAATTTTGTTCAAAAGTATTCTGTTTATGTGTAAATATTACAGAAAGGATAATTTTACATTGGTATATAAATGCACACACACACACATCTATAACTGGAAGTTAAATTTATGTAGTTATTATTTTTCCAGGCTTTCTAAGACCTAGGACTTGAGGATGGGATGGGATTATAATAAAAATCATAAATGCAAGAACTATATCTGAAGCTCTAGTCCCACTTGCTATTTAAATAGTCTCACCTCTGTGCAATATTGTCTTCCCTAATCCCTTTAAGTCCTGTAGTACCCAGGTGTTCTTGTCATCTTACAAAAGCTCTGTCAGCTCACTTCCTATCTATTATTTTCTTCCTTGTCTCTTCCTTTAGCAAGGTCCGCTGCAGAAGCCTGTGCTGCCCATAAAATTTCCAAAGGTTGCCCACAGCGGTTACTGCTTCAGCTGGCACTCATTCTAAAGTGCTCTAAAGCTTTCCCACTGTGTGAAAGCCACCCTGCTGTGACAAGCCTACCATGCCTGACTCTCCTCTGATGTACTAGTGTACAGGAGATATTGCTGCTCTTGTCAATTTTGCTGATTCCCAGTACTGGCCTCTCTGCCATAATTCTGAGATGTACCATCTAGGTTTAGGGCAATAAATGTCTTCAGACAGGAAAAGCCCAATATTTAAAATTAAACCAAACAAAAATCTCTAACACATATAACAAACTGCACAGATACTTCTTATGTATTCTGTCAAAAATCTGCGTTAAAAGAATATAATTTTTGAAATTTTTAAGTAAAGAGTATTAACATTTGAGAAGCACAGTTGCATATAGGATTAAATATGCAAATATTTATAGAAATTGTTTAGTCTTTGTTTGCTTTAATGCTTCTTTATTTTTCCATATTGAGTAATTCTCATTTTCCACTACACTCTAAGTTGTAACTAAAAGGAAATGATTAAAAAGTAGCAAAGGGAAGAGATTTTTAATTCTAAAATTTGAGATCAACATTTAGAAACATTTAGTATTCTAAAATTTCCATTTTGAAACACTTAAAATTATGTCAGTTCTCAGGAATGATATGAATATAAAAATAATTCATTGATACTGCAACAATTATTGCTTTTTAAGCATGTTTGAAAAAAGACAAAAATAATTATCACATGAGATTTAAAAAATAAAAGTAAATTAAAATAGTTGTTATTCTAATGGTGAATAAAAATTACTTTTGTAAGAAATGCTTGCAAATTACAAAAGTAAAATGGTTACATATTTGAAATGAATTCTGACTAGAGAAGTTTTGCATAGACTAGATACACCAAATTTCACAAAACTGGCTATTCCAATATAATTTTTCATAGTATCTGATTTGTCAAATTGCATGCAAATACGAAAACTGAATGACAAGACATTTCGTGACCAATTGGTATAAATTTAGAAGTTATCAGTTTTTCTAAAAGGCTGAAATATTCAAAAACCCTTCAAAACGGCCAAACATTATTAGGATTGTAGCAAGATAAGTCTATC